AGACGGTTATTTGGACCCTAAAAACTTCGTGACTGTCAAACTTCACAAAAGTAATTGACAATTCTGTTTCACGTTTCTCGACTTCTGGCTTATATTCATTCACGCATTCATCTACGTTACTCTAAACTTTTAATTAAGATTGTATCATCAAGTTGTATTGAACAAGTTTTTTTTTTTTATGCTTCAATGATGTTAGTCCTGTTATACCTTTTCATATTTACTCACATTGTGGTTAACGTTTAATATTTTATCCTATATGTTATTTCTAAAATGTGTTTTTTTTGTCGGTACGCCATAGCTTCGTCAATTCTTCATCAAATCCAATGATTGGTCACTCATTTTGAAGATATTCTTCTCCTTCACATGTGAAACATAGTCCTATCCTCCCAAAATTTCTGGAAAAAAGTTATGAAGAAAAAGAAACTTAATTTGCCAAATAACTCAAAAATTATGCATTTTTTCTGATTGTACCTATAATTAGAAAGATAATTAAATTACCTTAAAAACAAAAAAAAAATCGGACAATTATTAACAAAGATACAGTCCTTTAGTTTTGGTATACTTAATAATGTCCTCCTGTTTAAAGATATTGCATTTAGGAGTAGAATAATCTACTACACTTTTTTTCCTGGCTGATATATTAGCTCTATTATTTATTTAAGGTATTTGTTTGTTCTTACATTTTATTTTTATTAATAATTTAGAAAATCCCATGATCGGGCATTATTTGGTTTTATTACTTTTATTATCTTTCCAGTCAGCGTTTAAAAATAGGCACTAGCAAAGCATTTGTACAAATATTTTGGTCTATTATGTTAAATGGAATATTGTAATCGACCAAGGAAAAAATATTAATTCCTTCCATATTGTTTTTCTATTTCTTCACTAAACAAAATTATCTGCGAATTATTCGCACGGGCAAACTAGTATGATATATAATGTAATATTAATTTAATTATGATAGTTATTCAAGGTGTATAAACGTGTGTATTAAAATATATTTAAAATAAATATGTAAATAAATTAGATGTAGGAGGTATAATAAGTTAAAATGATTGTTCTGGTTGCAATCATCGTACGTTTGGAGCTTTTAAATATCTCTCTTGTGTTATTTAAATTTTAATTTTATTCAATTCAGGTGTAGTGACCTCTTCCCTTTCAAAAATAAGACATATTAGGGCTTAACAATGGTTGCCTTCGTATAGTTTATTCTTAAGAAATTAACGCAATATATATTTCAAATTTTTCGATGCTGGAAATTGTCGCTGGTAAACACACGTAGGTACTATTTGCCGATCTAATGACAATATTGGTTCATTGATAACATATCGGAGAATCATTTATTGGGAGATGAATTCCTGTTGATGATGTCACCAATATAGATGATACTTTTATCCTTTCGTGTATTTCTGTTATTTTTGAAATAATTTCGATACATGTAAAAACTTGTTATTTTTGTTTAATGACGGTTCAAATTAAGAATAACATGTGATGAAGGATTTTCTTCGGAAAAACTATCTTGTTCTTATTGCTTCTTGGTATTCCTTAATGCCAGGAAATCAGTGTTTCGCAAGTATCCTGTACTAATGTTTGAATACTGTCAATGATTTGACGGAGTTAGAACGATTGTAGAGTAAGTCAGTTTTACTTTGTGTTAAGAAAGCGAATATTTCGTAAATTTACTTTAATAATGTATGTATGTGATAAATATATCGTATATAGATTAAAATAAGCCTATGCACCACCGCCTAATCAACCTTTCAGTGGCTTATGTTTAATAAGTACTGAAACGACGCCGCAAGCCAACCAAGAACGCTGACACAAAATCCATTAAACACTTTTTGTCCGTCCGCCAAATGTCCGTGTTTTCAAATTTGGTATCAAATTCTGAGGTCTCCAGAGGATGGTCCTCCAGACTTGAAAGTAACCTCCGCCCTTTTGTTTTAAAATGGTGGCCGAAAAAGTTTTGCAGCTTTTATTTTATTATCATCTTCCTTTGCCTCTCAGCAGATTTTTGGAAGAATCAGCACGATACTTCTACCACTTGTCATCTTTCTTCATTCTTTTCTCCTCTTCGTTAGTGACGGTTTAAATTATCAACCCCCGCTAATTCCTTCCCCCGTAAACTTCATAGTACGGGTAGTTTATACTTGCTTACCAGCTGAGGGAAATCGTCCTCCGTGATGATATACAGTCCGGTTTCCCTCAGCAGTTTGGTCCTTACTGTCCCAAAAGCGGTGCATGTCGTGATCTTTGCCGCTACAGACTCTAACGAAGAAATGGCTGTGATGATTTTAATGAAGCTAGTCTGAAGCCCTTAGTTAAATTTATATAACATACTTCCATTTATGAAAACATATTATGTCTAATAAAGTGATTTGTTTGTTTATTGCTCAAAAAGGACATGTTTTTTGGATCATCGTGTGTACGTTTTTTTGAAAGATCATGAAAACACAAAAAATAAAGTAATCTAATTGGACAATTTAGTGCAGACATGTGGTGTTATGAAATTTTTGTATATGTTACAATGGAAATTCGGTTTTCTTTATTTTATAACTGAATTTTTGTTTTTCTACGAAAGCAAAATAATATAAATATTTAATCGGTCTCATTGTAGTCTGTCAGTCTTTCTGCAGTGATTTGATAGGATTCTGATTGAAATTAGTCCACTTCTTTTGTGTAATCAAAAGTAATTATATTATTCTGGAAATAAGAAAGAATTTATTCAGGATATTGACGAAATGGATAATTAAGTTGTGAGCTATACATTAACGTTTAGAATTTGGCTGATGGTGTGAACAATATACTTTCATAGTATTCATGTTTTCAATGAATTATTTTCCTTCCACAGAAAATCCATTGTGCGGAGAAGTTAAAAAAAAAAAAAAGTTAACACCGGCGAACACAACAAAATATAGTTCTATTTACTCTTCCTTCTTGCACTCTTTTAAGTGGCGAGTCAACCCAAATGTATATAAATTGCTACATTTGAAGATCACTTGTTGCAAACGAGCAGGAAACTGTACACTACCTAGATGTCAAAAAACATCACCTTCCAAATTTGAGAGGGGGCGTCACACTGGAAGTTAATATTCAAAATCCACGTCCTTGCACCCAACAGTGCATTTTTGCGAATATCAAGGTATCATACTTTGTAGTGCATTATTGCGAATATCAAGGTATCATACTTTGTAGTGCATTTAATTAGTTCCTATTTGAGCCTTTATCGAGTAATTTAAGATGAATAGTTCAAGAGAAACGGTTTTTAAAAAAATATATATTTTTTTTAAAAATACGATAAGTCACCATTTTGGGATTTTAATTTAGCGAATATTAAGAGAACAGTTAAAAAGATGATAATTTTCATAATTATTAGAAATCATTATCATCTTTTGAAACGCATTAGTTTAAAAATGTCACTGTTTGTTATATATACTATATAAATATTTGTATGTAGCGTTTTCAATAGTTTAATAAATTAAGTATTCGGAAGGAATATAATTAAAATTTAATACAGAACTTTGTAATGATTTTTCTTTCTTTTTTTCCTCCCCCAAAAAAGAATTACAGTTACTTAAAAAAACAAAACTTATAAAATGTTAATTTTCAATATTTGTTTACAAACACTTTGTCACATCGATATACTCATTTTATTAAATTAGTAATGTAAATTTTCATTGAGTTCTATAATGTAGTACTGCAATTTTATATCGTTGAACAGTACTTCAAAACGCTGCAAATTATTTCACAATGGTTTATTATTTCCAAACAATTATACATCTAAAGTAACATTACCTTCAGAGTTACAAAGAAAAAACAAAACAAAAGGTGATTCCAATTATTGGACGAAACTGTTTTATCTTTAATCATTAGTAATATGTAAAAAAAAAAAAAAATAGCATTAGTTCAGTAACACATTTATAATTTAAAAACCAAACCAAGGATATAACATTTGGAGTAGAACACATTAAAAAAACCGGAGACCATATCTTTGCTCCTAATTGTCCGATTTTAACGATTTCTTTTTTTTGTTTTTTAGGAAATTTCGTAAACTCTTAAAAAACCATGACAATGAAAATGACTTTAGCGAAGTTTCATTGAAATCTGTACATTCGTTTAGGAGCTACAGTCTATAGCAACGCAGGTTTTTCGGCCGCCATTTTGAAAGTTAAAGGCGGAGAGTAATGTCGATGAAGGAGGATCATCCTCGGGTGACCTCTGATTTCATACCCAAATTTGAAAAAAAATCGGTCCAGTAGTTTCGGAGAAAATGCGCGGACGGCGGACGGACAAAAAAAATTTTATTCGTTTTTCGAATTCCACGCGTCTTGAAACGTGAAACCTCAAATTTTGAGAGGGGGTTATGTTTTTGAATTTTTTGATCGATCAATTTTTCAATATTGAAAATAATAAACCAAAAAATGGTTGTTAATAACCATGGACGATTTTTTATTTTTCAATATATTTGCATAAACATCAATGAAATTACTATGTTTTACTAAAATAGAATATATCATATTGGAGAAATAAATTAAACCGCTAGAATAAATATTGAAAAATTATTTTTTTCATTATTTTGATATGGATCATTTTTTTTTTTATTGAGATTTTACCGAAAAACCTTTAGGTAAAAATCAATGTTCCAGCTTAATAGGTAGGTATCAATTTTCCATTTTGATGGAGCTTCATTAAGTTTGCACTCACTTCGTAGACATATTTTTTAATTTATCCGAATAAATTGGGCTCTGAGGTTATCCCATCCAATTACCGATTATTTTATTTCTTTTATTGGTGGAATTCGATTTTCTTCTTATAGAAAAATTTACGTTATTAAGTTTCCATCAATTATAAATAAAGGAAAACCAATAAAGGAATCATAAACAATTCCAGAACCTTCCAGATCTGGAAGGTATATAGTTCCGAGTATAATCTACAGATAGCGTTGCGTTGCCATCGATTGTGGAGGCATTGGCTTCCAAGTCCCGGGCAGTCAGTGCTGTGTTGTCTTTCGGTGTGTGAGTTGTGTCTTGTTCGTTTGGCGGGTTTTCGTGTCTTTTTTGGTTTGTTTGGGACTTTAAAAAAAGAGGAAGAGTTGTGACCGAGTGGTAATTTTGAAGGTTTTATACAGGCATTTCTGCATTGGGGAAGAAAATCGGATATAAGGAATTTTGGGAAAAAAAGTAATTTGTTATTTTTATTATTTTTTTTTAAATGAAACTATTATCTAATCTTATATTAAATATATTTTAAATTTAATTTGAATTATATGTGTGCTCATTGAATTTAAATTCATGTAAACAGATGAAGTTACTTGAAACTGGCAACAAGAATATTTACTTTGTATAGTCATATAAAAAACATAGAACTTAATATGATCATTTCGAAAATCCAGAACCCTACTGAAATGATTTTGGAATCATTTAATTTAACAGCAAATATATATATACATTTTTTTTCTGTTTATACAAAATTATTATTATTATCTTTACTTTATTTATTATGGATTTCTTATTTATTATATGTATTTTTATAATTGGCCTCAATTTAGTCGTTAGGTTCTGAAAAAATTATATATACTTTTTTATAATTCTTGGATATATTACTAATTTCGACTATTAGTAGCATATCAAATATTCATATTTTTCGATATTTCATTGTTATTTACCGTATAAACCAATCTTTAAGAATTCTGTACATTTTTGATTGATTATATTTATTTACCGGTCGAACAGTTACTATCAAGGTAAATTGTTGAGACTACCAATGTGTTAACATCTGATATTTAGGTCATTGATTTCCTGTCTTTTTTTTTTTTTCTTGGTATACGCTATCAGGTAAATTACTGATACTGTTAACTAAAATATGATTATTTTATTACTTAGAATACCATCAATTTTATGTGATCGTGGAATATATTGTATCTTTTCATAATCACTCTATCAACTTTGAAGCTCTTGAACTAAAGTGGATTTAAAAATACTGTAGTGATGTATACTCGTAAATTAGAATTCATATTTTGTTTTTTATTTTAATGTTGTATGTTCTCCGGATTCCTATGTATGAAAAAAGAGAAACAGTATTGTTAAAATAGAAAATGATTCTAACAATGACATTTTTCATTTACTTTTTTGCATGCAGCTCTGTTGTAAAATTTCATGTTTAATATTTATTTTTCTGATATAAAAATTAAAAAAAAATAATATATATTTATACATTTTTCATTTTTTTTTTTTTATATTACAAATTTTTCATATAATGATTTTCAAGTACTAGAAGGAGTTGGTCTGGAGGTGCGGTCAAATAAATTTATAAAAAATAGTATTTTTAATTGTTTTGCCGACGTTTCGACCCACTCTGCAGGTCTTCATCAGGGCGTTGCATCAGGAACTGCGGATGCAGTTGATAGACCCACTGAGTCGTTTTCGCGCTACAGTCTACAGAAAAACTTGTTTTCCATTTATTGCGCGCAAGCTATTGCTCATGGAGCACCGAATTTCTGTCACAGGCATCCGTAGTCAAAACCCTACAAAATAAAAAAAGAAGCAACAAAATCGGTTCTGTAGTTCCCGAGAAAATTTTTTACAGACAGACAGACCAATGGCCAAAAATGTGTTTTTCGGATTCAGGGGGCTCTGAAACGTATAGATCCGTCGAAAACCGCATATCGGAAATTTGACCCGATTGTAATACTTTCCTTACCTAGTATAGGTAGGAAAGAAAATTTAAGTCTTGCATTATAATTTAATGAATAAATCCTCAAATAAAATATTTTGTTAAATTTTAATATAAATACAATATATACCTTGCAGATTTTCCTATGTTCTATTTATATATTTATTTAAACACAAGGATTATGGTTTTAATACGAACAAATAAAATTTAAAAATTAATTTAATATTAATAATAAAACAATTCATATCTTCAATACTTTGAATGTTCAAAATTAGCCTTGTTAATTGGGGTTGCTGTGTGATGAAAATGCTCGAAAAATATATGTCTACGAAAATTAATTAACTGGATAAATTATAATTTGGTGATTTAGTGGAACCCTAGAGATCAACAAGATAAGTCTGATCATATCTATGTAAAATACATTTTATAAATTTGAAATTTGCATAGTCTTGTGAAGTTTGGAATATCCAGCAGCAAGGACTTATTCCTTGTCTTGTTAATTTTGCTGAGAATTCCGCTTTGAGCTGTTTACGAAAAGGCTTACTTTTTTTATAAGGATTAACGGAATGTCAATAAAGGATGCTGTTTAACAGGATGTGCGTTTACGACATAGAGTTGACGTAAATTATGACTGTTTCCATGAGATTATGTTAATCCACCGGTATAGACACCAATCTTCAAGGGTTGGGGTATGTGGTCCCCACTGAAATTTAAAAATAGAAAACTCCATTACTGACGTCATAGGTCCCGAAATTTGGTAAATATTGGGAGGCGAAGGTTAAGACTCAATTCATAAATAGAAACTCAGTCATAAAATACAATATAATTGTTATAATGTACGGCTTATAGAACTGTTGTGAGTTATTTTGATGTAAATGAATGTGGAATATAAAAATGCCAGATTTACTTTGGTTCCTTCATAAAATATGGGGAGGAGGAAGCGGTAGGTGCGTCCTAAAGGCACTTCTTTAACACCAACTCAATTAAAATACAATACATAACTTTTATACACTAACTCAATTAAGAGGGGATTTAATACTTAAGAAGCGTATCATTTCTTACCGGACTGGCAGAGGTGAGAGAAAAAAAGTTTAAAACTAGTTAATAACGTTGGCTGAACTGTCAATAAAGAGTAGCAGTTGGAACAGTTTCAAATAAACAGATTGCTACTGAAACACATCCCAACACTATTCTGCATAAGTCAAGATCTGAGAAGTGCGCGCAAAAAAAAACAGAATAAATGGGGAGTAGGGTTAACAGTTGAGATTGTCAAGAAGTATTTATTGAACAACTCAATTTGCATACTAAAATACAATCCTGTAACTTTATAGGGCTATGTTCGGCAAAACTTCTGAAAACGAGAAAAAACGCGAAAACCTGATTGGACATACCATATTTTACCCAAATATTTAAACCTAGAAGAAAACCCTACATAGCGAAATTCTTCTCATTTGATCTAGAGGATGATGCTCTGGATATGTGAATTGTAGCGTTGTGAGTTGAAGCGAATCGTGAACTAAGGCGGAATTATTTCACCTCCATGGCGAGTTAATGTAGTTCTTCCCGTCTTCACGTAGAAAATAATTCCTAGGATCCTCTTTGAACCAAACCATCAACACCATTCCTAAATTTACAGTCTTATAATTTCTAATCCGTGGACTATTCTCAGAAAACAAGATCTCGTATTTCAGACCTCTATACTCCCTCATACCCAGCTATAACCTTTGAACGTTCCATTCTTGCCCGCTTCACTGCTTTCTGCAATTCGCTATCATCTATAATTCGCCATGCTCCTCCCCTTTCTTTATTCAGAACGCTCCTTTTCCATTTCTTTTTCACATCCGAAAAAGACGCTCTCCAATCTTTTAATTTTAATATTAGAATAAATTGCTGTTTTGAAGCGAATGATAGTCTTAATAATTGTTTTAATTCTGGGAATCAATTCATAGTTTTATTTTCTTTTTTCTTACTCTTCCTTTTTATTTTATTTTTTTCTCGAGATAATTTTTTTTAGAATATATTTGTATACTGATTGAACCTTATTAATGATTTTGGCCATTATTATTTTTGTTAATTCTTGTTATACAAGTTTGTGCAATATTATATTCTATGCTATATATATATCAAATATCTTCGAAACCTAATAATCCGATGACTTTCCATACGGTTCTGTAATCTATTTATTTCCAAGGAAAATAAGTCTAACACAAATAAATTAATATTGTTTTAATATTTTCAAAGCATTCCAACAGACAGTCATTTTGAGAACAACATAGCATCTCCTTTGAAGTGAAGAATTCAATCTAAGTTAAAGATTATTGCCCGTGTGTTTACTTTCGCGTGTCTATACAATCCACCGAGTAGTTTCTCAAGATACAGCTTTAGGATTAAACAGTGGCTTGTGGTTTTAACCCTATTCAGCCCTTCTAAAATTTGAGAGTTTATGATCAGTGATAAGAAAATTAAAAAAAAAAAACTGTTTGTTCGCCTTGTAAAGAAAAAGATACCTTGAGTTTTAATTGCTGGTGAGTTATTGCTCTTGTCATTCGTCTACTTGTTTTTGTCTTTATATCTCTATATATATTCAGTCATCGCTCGTAAATTTACGAATTTCGCAAGCTAGTAACAAGTACCAAAAAAAAACGTAGACCCGTAATCCGTACTTTATTTCATTTAAATTTATTTCTTGTAAATTATTTACATTATTTTTACTATTTTTGTGTTTACAAATATGGCCCGTGCAAATATTTCGGATATTGTATTGGTCTGTGACAATATGGAAATAAGTAAATGAAATGTATCATAAAATGAATTAATTTTCGTTTTCTTGGCCGTTCACTCTGGTTCATTCCAAATAATAACCATGCGTACAAATTACATAGTACAATATTTGCTTATAATGATTCATTTTCTATGGTTTTTTTTTAAAGGAAATTTAGGAACTTTTTTTATATGCATGTATATAATCTACCATAAATTTATAATAAATCCATATAGTTTTTGTGTTAACCTCAAATAAGATTTCGTTTTCTTCATACTTTTTTCCCTGACTTCTTCTATCGACAAAAAACAACTTTGGGAAATAATGTGTGAAGGTACTACTGCATTTCAGTCCAGAAGTTTTTCAATGTTCGATCTGAAGTCAGGGACATCGCTACATTTTTTTTTTCTTTTTTATGGACTAAATATCAAATTCGTATTGTCAATCGTTTAAAAAAATGACCCTTTCTACTTTAAGCCCACCACTGAATTATTGAAGTGTTTTTTGCATTTGAATTAAAATATTTCAGAAACAAGCAAGGGAAGTATTCAGAATTTTATCCTCTTAGTGATGAGCTATTACTCAAAATTGGTATTTCAAAGTGACGCCGTTTTAAGAGAGGCAAAATGAGAAAGAGGGGACGAATTTGTTTGAAAATATGGATTAAAATAACCTGCATACTGTAAGATAGGGAAGTGTTCAGCATTCCATCCTCTTTGCAGTGAGCTATGATTCAAAATTGTTATC